CTCATTTGTCATACACTGCTGACGGAAAGGGAAAGGCAGCGAGAGCGAGAGCTCAAAGAGGAGGAACAAAAGGAACGTTTATGGATTGTGGAGTCAGAACACGGTGGCCTAGAACACACTTCCACTGCTTAAATCAAGTTCTGCATCATCCTCCCTGCCTGCCTCTCCAGACGGAGCGGTTCTGATGGCGCTGCCATGCCGCACTCTGCCAAGCCGGATGCATACTGGTGAGTACAGACACAACACCCCACAGATAGCCAAGCTTGGCATCTATTAAGGTCCATCTGTCTGCTTTAGACAAAAAAAAACACCATCAACTTTATCTTTCCTCATGAAGGTGGAGGATGGCAGCGAGAAGAAACAAGAAAGGGACTGATGGAGGGCAAGAGCGGTGGGGAACTTAAGGATCCGAAGCTCTGTTAAGAAATATACCGTCTTAGTGTATAATACCTGCACTACAACCCCTTTAGAAAGGGTTAAAAATAGATCTTAAGAAAATTGTGACAGGAAAATGGAGTGCAATGTGTGTGGAGAAGGAGGGGGGGAATGAGAGCAGCGTGTTGGGCTCAGGAGGCAGGACTGGGTTTCCACAAATGGAGATTAGTGCTCCAGGCCACTGTCTGGCCAGGCTGCTAGCATGCTCACTTTGTTCTCGACAATGACAGCTTCAGTCGGAGTGGGGATGGGGGCTGTACACGGTCCACCATGTTCACAGTGGCTATTCACTTTCTATGGGCCGTTTCCCTTCCAGATCTTTCTAAAGTTTGGTTCGTCTATTTGGGGTTGAGCTCAGAGATTGAAATTGACTAAGTTCTTATTTGGTTTAAGACGTCAGCTTGAGACAACAAACTGACACTGAACATGAGTATAAACCCTTTAAGCAGCCGACTTCTCGCTCTACAGCAACAACTTGATCTCTCAGAAAACATGGGGAGCGGTACTGAGGGCTTGTTTTTAACACTAACTCTACATTTACAGACAAGATTTAGGATTAACTCTTCTTAGGGTTTACAGGATCAATCAAAATGGGAAGCAGAGAAGTTCTATACATTATTTTGAAGATTAGCAGCTTTACTCCAGAGAAATTGAGAAAGTGGTCAAATCCCTTTTGGGAATTCAAATGACTGGCATATTGATGTTTGCTTCAGGAAGACAACAGAAAAACAAAATTACAGCCTTTATTTTTTTTTCGTCCAACACTTTGTCCAAGTAGAAGCCATAAGATTATGTACACTTTGTGTAAAAACTGTGCAGTGGAATCATTTGTGTGGCTTTTTATGAAAACTTTCACTTTGTTAAATTGAGCAATGTCACAACAGTGATTTTTCTGTCAGTGAAACTGAAGGGAGAATCCTGGCTGCTTTGTGGCCAACAGTAAACCATTCCTACTTGGTTCAGGCCAAACAGAGGCCAGCCAGGTCCTTCATTGAGCCAAATGCGAGCTTTATATCTCATAAGTCATCGTGTTGTGGCAGTTTTCACTGTTGACAAGCAAATATTTATCATTCAGCAGAAGAATTTCAGTGTTTTGCCATCTGGGCATTGTTTGGATTGTGTCACACAGCTCAGCAGAAGATCACTGACAGCATATGGAGGTAATTCAGTTGGAGTTGGACTTAAGCGATGAAATGTTTACCCCAGACTTCTACATAATTTTAGACATTTCTGCATCTTTCATAGTTGGCAAATGTTTCCCTGTCGCTCGTGGGGCTCAGACTACCCACAGGCCAAATATTATTGACTCTGCTGCACTTGAAGGGGCAGGGAGGCAAAGTGGAACAGGCTGTTCAGGATTCATGCAGACGCCGCTGCTCTCTGAGTGGAGGTTACCTAAAGTGCAGAGAGGCTCCGCTGTAAGGCTCGGTTTGAGGGCCTTAACGAGAGACTCAGGCAATGAGCAGAGCATTTTAGTAGTGTGTAGACACACATGTAAATCCTCTTCTCTTTTCTTTTTGAGAATGTGTATTTGTATGCGTGTGCATGTGTGTGTGTGTGTGTTCAGTAGGCCTGGATCAGTTGAATAAATCCACACTTGAAAGAGGAGCTCAATCAAGCTCTCCCACCCATCTCCCCTCTGCCTCCACTTCTCTCACCTCAACGATGCTTCAGTGCTCACAGTTCATTTTGAGTTGAAGAGTTCAGGGATCTAAAGGGCAAAGGGGCAAAAGGAGGGGCAACAGAGAGCAAGTGTGTGTATTTATGGGTTCGCAATGATACTTTTATTCTGGATTCCACAGATATAATGAAACTAAAACGTGTACATCGTCAAGAGAAAACAACAGATCTAGAGAGTAAAAATTGACACCAAGGATAAATGACTTTAAAACTTTCCCCTAAAAGTAAGCAAGGAAATTGTTGTTCAATTGCTAAATTCAGGATTCTTTGACGGAAACCTACCAACACATCTCATGCTCGATTTAGCAATATTTGCAGAACGTCTTGCAAACGTTGCCCAAATCTCGCTGTATGGAAATCACATGGTTTTTGTTTCCAGCCACAGCTTTTCTCTAAGATTTAGTTCCTGTTCCTGGCAAGAACTTCCTTTGTTTTAGATAAATGCCTAATCATGTGAAACAAACTAACGACTATCTTCATTTTTCCAGCATAGCAGACAATCTAATGCTTTGGGTCAAAACTGACAAAAACGAGTGCGGAATATGGGTAACACAAAATATGGGAAAAAATTTGTAGTTTTAGTCACGACCAACTGGTGTTTGGGGAGAACAGTATACAATTCTGAAATTTGAGAGAATATTTTTACTGAGTTATTTTGCTGTCATGGTGATTTTTGTCATGTTTCTAACAGTGAAGGAGTGATTCATTCGGCTTTCAACAGTTTCTTTTCCCAATGAAAATAACTGTTATTAGTCCCTAACACTAAGCTGCACAAAGCAACAGAGCTGCTTTCTGCAAAGAGTTTCATGGAGAAGCAGAATTCAGTTTTGATGTACCACAAATCTGGAACAATCTTGCAGAAAACTGCAAAGCAGCTGAAGCTCTGAGTTCCTTTAAATTCAGACTGAAAACCCACCAGTTTAGAGTTGCTTTTTGAACCATAATAAATGAAACTCTGACCAACATTTTGGTGTGTAATGATGACATTTGTCAAAATGTAATATTTACTGGTTTTCTCAATTGTGTGGTGTCTTCTACTACTTTGTATTTGTGTTTTTATAATGTAAAGCACCTTGACCTGCATTGTTGCTAAAATGTGCCATACAAATAAACTTCACTTAAAGCAGCAGTTTTCATATGTGACAAAATTGTTCACTTTATACTTGAAACTGAATTGTTAATGCTATTTAAATGGAAAATATCTGCATTTTAGCTATTCTTTTTGACTTTGAATCCAAACTGGAAATGAGCAAACTGATGCGAGAAAAAAATACCCAGAACAATTTCTTTAAAAGGTAGCAGAAAAATTAGAGAAAAGGATTTCATTGGCATCTGGTTTCTCACAAAAGGCCTTGAAGCTGCTCCCCCACGTCGGAGGAATAAAAAGAGCTTCTTTTTAACCCACCCAGTGGTTCAGGTAATGACTCACAGCCATCTTTGATGTACTCGTTAGGACGCAAAATGCATACACAGTAGATTTCTCAAAGAGTGAAGATGCTATTTTTATGGCCCTTTTTTCATGAATTTTATATTCAGAGAGCTGTCAGTGATGTAAAAGCATTGCTGTGAATGTGGCAACGGATCTGCATGAATAGTGATTCATTCTCCAAGTTATAGTGCACACAGATGTTGAACATATGTCTACATGTGCATGCAAATATCAAGAGATTTATTCAAGAACAAAAACGCTGGAAACATCAAATGTTCAAGGTTGAAAACCTTAACAGCATGAAATGGATTTGCTACACAGAGACGTAATCCCAAGGGCTCATTGTGGTTAATTTCTAAATGGCTTATTGTTAATAAAAACTAGATAACTTCATTATTGAGCAATACAAAAGATTTTTAAAATCTTTTAGAAGAGAAATATATTTAAAAGAGAAGAAGAGAAATATTACATGTTGCTATTGTTTATGACCAACACAATTACTGCAAAGAATGCTTAGGTATAGCATATTAATGGAAAGTTGAGTGGAAGAAAAATATGCATTAAGCAAAGTTGCTCAAGCAAATAAAAAAGCATGTCCATGTCATTATTATGAAGGGAAAGCCTCGTTGCAACTTTGGGGGAGATGTATTAACTGCAGGCCATAATCATCAAAATAAAAAGAAAAGGAAAAATGAAGCAATTTTAAAAGGAAAAACTAAATCTGAGTCACCAACATACCATTTCAGTGACAAACACAACAAGAACTGGGCAGCATGGGCAAATAAGATAAAATAAAAATAAAAATCGTGAACATTTTGTCCTGACTGAAAACCTCTTTGTGGTTTTGAAATGACAACAGCATGTGCAGAATTTATTTTTACCTAAAAATCAAAGCATAATTCAAGGTTAATGTAATGAAACAATGCTCCAAATGAAAAACTGCAGTACATTTCCTTGAAGCTCTCACATTTGGCCAGGTCCCACCCAGCTCTGTTCGTTGCCACCTTGTGGCAAACCGCAACCCTCAGCTGCTCTGTCCACCTGTTCCCCACAGTCAAATCACAAAACACAAACTCCATGCCAGCAAAGCTACTAGCAGCCGCCACCGGGAGCACAGCATTAAGGAAGTCTGGCCTGAGGGGGAGCGGAGATGAAATGTGGCCGGCACCGGAGGTGTGTGCAGCTCACTCTGATTTTCCACTCAACTGGAGGTACTGCCAACCTGTTCCCCTCGTCCATATATGGAAGTAAACAGGATACAAACAGTGGGGTGGAGTTATTGTGCCATATGCAGTGGTATTATTATGTTATGAAACTATGGGAAACCTTCCCAGCACTTATTAAAGCTCTTCATCTCCCCGTGACACCCAAATGATGGAGAACAGCAAGGCGATGGCAGCTGGGAAAGCGTCAACAGTGTAACGCATGTTGGCGCTTCTGCAGGAAATATACTCACAGCAGGTACGAGGAGCTTCTTGACTTCCTCTACCGCTCTCCTCATCTTGATCTCTGCTCTGTTTTGTGTGTCTTCAACTGTGATTAGGACGTGAAGGTCTTCATTTAGGTGTTCCCAGTTTGGCTTCCCTCTGTTCTGCTCCTCCTGGACAGAAACACAGAGAGAGAGAGAGACGGTGAGTGGATGTGACAGCGCGGGCGTGCTGGAGCAGCAGCGGTACCGGCGCGTTATAAGACAGAGGAGAAAAGAGACAGGCCGCTGCGAGAAGAAGCAGGATGACAGGACCGGCCCGTTAGTCAGCTATTTAACTGGAACTTTGAAAGGACACCCTTCTTTAATAGATCCCATGCTTCACAGAGACAAAGATGACAGCGAGCCCTGCAGCAATTAATATCAGAGAGAGATGAATGGATTGAGGGATCAGAGAGAGATGGATCTGGATTTTAACCTACATTATTGCATTTGTGGGTTCTAATTAGAATACACAGCTTCTCTTAGGGGTGGGCATTCATTCTATTATTTCTCATTTATCATGTAAAAGTGTATCACAATAGGGATTTTGGTTTATTGTTGTCATGGCAAATTTCAGTGATTGTAAATTTTATTTTTGCCGTTTACTCAAGTTTCTTTCAAAAGTGCATCAATAAATATCAGTAAATTAAAAAATAAGATTAAAACAGTTACCCTATGCAGCTTAGGGATATAAATCAATCTTTTTTTGATTAAGTGATTTATAGAAGCCTATTCAAAATGGGAATGTTTTTCAAAAACAATATGAATGCTGCACCATGCAGTTACAGAAATACATTCACCTAAAACATAATAAATACTTTTTAGCATAATTTTTGTCATTGCCACAACGGTATCACAAACTATTGTGATAAAATTATCAATACCTAAACACTTGTTTCCCTTGTTTATATCACATATAGAGTAGAATAGTACTCTCTCTTTATAAAACTGAACCAAAGTAGAAAAATAAATATACTGAAAAAGCAGCAATGTAAGCAAACACCAAATCTTCGGAAATGAATTCATAATTTTATTTAGCAGCTCATATTTCCTGTCAGTCAGATAGCACAAGCCTATGCTGCAGGCTATGGTTTCCCTTCACACCACATGTGTAGCTCAATCTGTCTGCTGCTCTTGTCCTGCCAATTCCATCATGCACCCTTACAGTTTGTTTCCCCCTGAAATGAAATGGTTTTGTTTTTACCTCAACAAGTCTACGTTTTCTTTGTGCTTTCTCTCCTCTGTTAAAAAAAACAAACCCACCCAAAAAACACATGCTAAAGCAGCTAAAGGTTAACTTCCTGTGCCAGCAATCCCCAGATCCACTCTGAGCAGACCTGAACCCCAACCAAACTCTGAAGTTAAACATGGAATTTATAGTGTTTAATGCTCATACGGCAAAAGCAAATGTGGTGGATTAGCAGTACTTGTCAACAATTGACATTGCTGTAGAATGTCCTCTCTGCTTCCTGGATATTGAGCCATCATGAATCTGTCACAAAGCAGCAATCTTCAGTCAGAAGCCTCTTTACATTTATTGAAACACTGACTGCTCCAGGATATCCTTCCTCCCAACAGAACAGCCATCCACAGAAACTCTGAAGATACTTTGATAATGTGATTAATGACAACCTCTAATTTCACTGTGGGATAAATAAAGTATTTTCAAATTGAATTGATTAAGAATTATTTTTATTTTATTTTGGATTGCATACCAAAAAAACAAACAAAAAAACTAAATATTTCAAATGACGTTTTCAAAGTTTAATAATCCTAGTGTTGACTTAATTTCATAGTGGTAGGAATAATTTAAAATTTTCAATTTAAAATTGATTATGTCAATCAATCAAAGCAGTTAAATCATGTCATACATGATTTAAATTTTTCAGCTTTTGTATAATTATCTCTTAATCCAGATGAGCATCAGTCAGACAGTCTGATAGCATCCCATAGCTAGTGGGAACAAATGTTTCATATTTGATGCATTTAATATGTTAAATAATAGCTACTTAATCCAGAAAGTTAGCAGTGAAGTGCTGTATGGCAAAAAGTTGCACAACTTCTTTTGAAACTAACTATTAACCTCAAGGGGTGGAGCAGAGGTCTAGATTAATTTGATCAACATCGACCAATAAGGAGAAAAGTAGATTAAATATCCGCTTAAAAGGAGAAAAAAAAGTTTTCAAAACCTCATGATGACAAGCGCTTACCCCCTGCTGGCGGCGCCGATTTGCAGACTAGTGATAAAAGCGGAGTTGTTTACTTCAACTCCTATAAACCAGCCTCAACTTCAGATGAGACTTTGAGTGGTGAGCTACTGTGAGTGCGTCTAATTACTAACAATACACTGCGTTGCTCTGCAGGAATCCCGTCGACTTCGCTTCTATACGGTCAACAAGACCTGCAAAGTAAAGGAGAGCAGGCACGCATGCACGCACGCACGCACACACAGCTTTAGAGTCTGAGCCGAGTACCACCCACCTGCTTTATACTCCACAGAGAGCAGTTGCCATGGCACTGCTCTTTACAACACACACACACAAGTGCGTTCAATATTCTGCTCTCGTTTTCCCCTTTTCTGCATGTGGGTGGGGCGATGGCGGGAGTGATGGGGGCTAGTTTAGGCAGCGTAACCACTATTTTATCACGGCGCCTGGCTTACGGCCTGCTGGGGCGCGGGGAGGTCGACCGGGTGGTGGATCAGGCAATTCGCTCTGTACCTGTTCAAAAGTATGACACTAACAAAGCACACATCTGTAATTTCAGCTGCAGGCTGTTGAGTTCAGTCAAGCTGGAGTTGAGTTCAGACTGCAGTCGATTAGAGTTGCAGAGGATCCACGAACCTGCACGCCAAGCTTCACAAAACGCAAATGCACCCAACACACACCATGACAAGGTCACTGCACGCCCTCTGAGAGAAAGTGACAGCATGACAAACAGGATGAAGGCCAGAGGGGGGAGACAGGTTAGAAAGGCGAGAACAGAGACAAGAGGCAGGAGGAAAACTCTGAAGTGTCCAGACAAACCGCTCCGCTGGAACCGTACAAAGGGGAGCTGGTTCCAGTCAAATATGATGAGAGTTCTTCGTTTTTTGAGACTAAATCTCAGCACAAAATCAAAGAGTGCACGTTGCTTACAGGAGCACCTCAAATCAGAAAATAGTTTGTTTACTTCAGGAATTCAATTCAAAAAGTAAACGCTCTGTATTGAAATTTCAAGCCGTTATTTCTTTTAAACTAGAAATTTAAGAGGTTTTTTTGTCAGAAATTTCCTCCTCTATGGACTTTTTCTCTTAACAATGCCACTTAATGCTCCTTTGTACCTTTACCATAAAGACTTTTCCAACTTGACGTAATTAAGGCCAACTGAAGTAATAAAGATTATTTAAAACACCCGTAGGAACAAAAAAACAGAGGTTAAATGTTTATAAGTATACATATAGGGGTGGATTTCTTTTTAATAATACGAGTATAATAACATACCACATGATCGCTAAAATCTGAAAGGTCAGAGAGGGCAAGAAGCTGAATTGAACAGTTCACTTAAATGCCACGACTTTTAGCTCTTCCAGGAAAGATAATACATCAGCACATCTGAGCCCAGGTTATTAAAAAATAAGGTGAACATTGAGCAGTAGTCTAACCTTCAGCCATATGTCGCCACCGTGCCCTGAATGATCACATTAGTTTCTTGTCATTTGCAGACAATGAGGGGAAATGTGACAACAGCAATACCGGTGCTGGAACAAAGGTTTCAGTGAAAATGAGAAATAGAAAAAAAAAACTAAAATTGATTTACTTTAGTGCCAAGAGGCTAATAAAATGTAGCATACAGGCTGCAAATGTCGTGGTAGTTGGAAGGGAACGAAATGTACGATGCGCGCTGTAACAACATCTACTGGCTGGCAGCAGCTGAAGACCAATTCTGTTCTGTCAGAGATCGTGCTGATACAACAGTTTTAGTTGTTACGTGTTGGCACAATCAGCAAAGAAAAAAAAAAAAAAAAAAAAAAAGAAAAAAAATAAAAATTCATTTGATGGAGAGCGTTTCTTAAACTGCAAGCCTGGAAGGATTTTCAGAGTGGCTCTAAATAAAACAGATGTCTGCACCACTGACTGTAATCGCACTGTGAAGGAGACTAAATAGAATTAGGGAATTGCTTTGGCGAACGGGAAGGGGAATCCCCTCTGTGCGTGTGCAGTGGTCGATAGAACAAATCTGTAATTTAATTGATGTTGTTCTTGCCGTTGTTCGGCATTATTCGTGGGTGAAATGAATAAAAAGAGACCAAAGCTTAACAACAGATGGTGCTTAGATAGGAAGATGGCTTCTGAGAGTCCTTCTGGATGTTAGTAATGATTACAGAAATGAAAAATGATTTAAAAAAAAGAGAGAAAATGAAAATCCTTTAACCAGAGAAACTATGAAAGCAAGAACTAAAAAGCATACAAGGAATTAAATCTTTTCTCTAATAATTCAGCAGAGGTGAACTACTACAAACTTTCTACAGGTTTCCACAACTCAAATTTAAGACCTTTTTAAGAACATTATGAATGAAATTTGAGGCCTGCACCATGGCAGCAATGGACAAAAAAAGAGCAAACCCACAATAAATGTTTACTTAACCCATGATAAACGGCAAAAAAGAAAGCTAAATAACTGGCAAGGCTATATTAGCAGCTAGTTACCTGGAGTTGCAGAAAGCAATGTCACTGTTTCAATACAACTCAAACTTTTGCCTGACAAAGAAAAAGAAAAAAAAAACACAAAAAAGCAAAATCATAGACTATCCAGTATTAAATATTCTTACTATGGCAACATTTAAGACCTGAGAGTAACATATTTAAGGCCATCTTAAGACTTTTTAAGGATGTGCAGGTATCTTGTATTAGTGTTTAGTAAATACAGGCTTGAGCAGTACCTGTTGTAAATCATTAATCTTTAAACAGGAAATGTTCAACCATCCCTTCCATAGGATAAAGGTTGTAGAGACAGTGCAATATCGTGTAATACACACAAATTATTATGCAATTATTTCTGCAAGTTCTCTGAAGGGATAAAAGTGTTTCAAACGCTTCAAATTATTTACCATATTTTTCTCATTTTCCGTACCGACTTTGCATCCTCTTCTTCACTATTGTGCTTTATGTAACATTGCTGCTTCATCCCCTCTGCCTGCCTGACTCTCTCCCACTGTGGAGCTCCAGTGAGCCGGTTCCCTGTCAGGCAGCGCGGCCCAAGGGGGAGTAACCAGCTGAATTATTGAGAGCATAAAAATGCTGCCGCTAATGGATCCTGAATAAACACACTGGCTTAGCTGCTGCTGTGGCATCCTCCGCTGCCACAGGGCATCAGGCTGAATATACTGAGGTTGAGGAAACGGTGACTGGAAGCTACTTCTGCGGCTTTGTTCGTGGCTGAGCCACAGCTTTGACACACACACGTGGTCTGATCCAGATGCTGCTGGGGCCCTGCAAGCAAATCTTTCAGCCTATTATTCTGATTATGGATGTAAATGCTGGGAGACAACAAGATCCTTTCCACATGATGTTTTTAACAGCTTATCAGCACTTTAATGGAATATTCAGAGGACTGACTGAGGAAGGAAGGTCATGATTTATTGAGGATTAAAAAGCAGATGTACCAATCAGCCCGAGGTCAGAATTCAACACTGATTGGCTCTAAATGGTCATTTGTGAGCCAAAAAAGTTTTTTTTTCTTTACTTTATTGAATAAATCAAAATTTAGAACTCTTTCTTCTTTAAACTCACCCTCCAGCTGCATGTACTTTAATGTACTTAAGCCAAAAAAAAGGTAGAAAAAAACTAGAGGCATATGATTTGATACACAAATGTAGATAAGTTTATAATTCTTTATTTTCTGTAAAAGCCTGTACTTCTACAAAAGAAGCAGGAAAACACTTTTGTTGTATTACACTCCGTAGGATAAAAATTGTAATCAAAGTCAAGATCAACATGAAGAAAATTGGAAATGAAGTTTTGGTAAAGAAGATAAATGCCGATTAAAGTTGTAAAATTATAAGAGGATAGAATATTTTATAATTCAGGTGATGCTCTGATTTGATAAGAAAAACCATGCCTCCTGACTGCGTCTCAGTCTTCAACATTACAGCAGATTCTCCTTTTTGTCAGCAGAGTACATGAAAAAGCCTGCAGCAGAACCAGCTGCAGCACCAGACAGAAAAGAAATGCATTAACTGGCATGCATCATTAAGTTTCAGAAGAGATGGAGATTAGGAACAGAATCCTAGATTTTAGCAATGAACTAAGACTAATGTCTAAAGAATGTGTCTGCTTAATGATTCTCAATCTCTTTTAACCATTTCTGGATCAAATTCAAAAGAAAAAAAATAAATAAATAAAAAATATTGCAGAGGTTCTTCATCTCATTCTGCTAGAAAACATACATACCAAAGGGAATGGAAGGAGAGAGGAGAAGGGAAGGGATGGAAAAGCTGTCCCTACAGCACAATGGCATTTCTAAGATTATGACTCAACTGAAAATCTGTGTCGCTCTGTGTTTTCATCAGCTCGGGCATTGTCAGGTTTTCATGATGCATCATATGCTCAGTGGGGGTGTGGAGCAGCCCGAAAAGGTGCCTGTCACTCCAAAGAGTGCTCTGACTTTTTAGAATGAACTGCAATATAGCACCCCTGTCTGGCAAAGCAGAGCAACTAAAGCCTCTGCAGGTGCATCTCAATAAATCAACAGGTCAGCAGAAAGGTGATTTAATTTAGTAATTGAGTTCAAAAAGTTACATTTATCTATAATTAATGTGGAGTAATACATTTCAAGTTTTATTTCAGTTAATTTCAATGCTTAGCGATTGGAGCTAGTAGTACAGCAATGTTATGCGCCGGTCAACACTATTATGTGTTGAAAGAGGGAAAGCCACAAAATATAAGGGTGATGTACCCAGGCATATCAATGAAAGGTTTAGTGGAAGAAAAAAGTGTGTACACCCAATTTGTGGTTCAGCGTTCTCAGATTTTTCAAAATGTAGGTGTTCATAGTTTAAAAATTGTAAAAGGTTACAAGGTTTTATTTAGTAGATAGAGTAAAAAAACATAGGTCTTTTTTCAATTTTGTTTTCAATTATTTGAATTTCTTTCTTAGACCAGAACCCAGTTCCTCCATTATTATTATTATTATTATTATTATTATTATTATTATTATTATTATTATTATTATCATCATCATCGCCACAGTTCTGATTACAGACTACAGACACTCTCAGGAAGGTTTTTTGCGGAGCTGTACACATTTCTATGTGTTTACACTGTGTACAGTTATTTGTATGTTTCCAATCTCAGCACAGAAGCTCCAGATATAGATACGGCCCCCGGCATGAGCCGTTACGACTGCCTCCTGCATTTTCTGCTGCGCAGCGCTTTGCAAACAGCGCTATCAGATGTCGGCAGCAGTCATCAACTGAGCGTGTGCCCGCCTCGTGTTTCTGGAGGCCCACTGGGAAGTTCTTGTGTGACCAGCATACCACCAAATTTCATAATGTCGTGTAACATTCCCAAAGAGATAATAAATCCTTGCCGACAGAGAGGAGAAAAAAAATAAGACAGTAGAAGCAAAACACATTTGGCATTAATCGTGTGAAAGAAGAATTGGAGAAAGGCTGATGAGTTTACCTTCTTCTTGTCTCTCATGGAGCTCTTTCCTCGCACCATGATTTTGCATCCCGTCTCTGCTTCCAACTGTTTGGCAGTGAGTCCCCGGGGACCGAGGATTCTTCCCACAAAGTTATACTGTGAATATAGACAAGAAAATAAAACCGGTGAATCTCCTGGAAACACACAGAGTGTTAAAAAAAAGGCCTGACCTGTGAGGAAGTATGACTGGCAGCAGCTTCTTACCCAAGTACTGCTAAAATCATAAAAAGACTCACATAAAGAAGTTATATTTTCTTAATTGAGTTAAAAATTGCTTAAAAGGAAAACAAAAAAAAAGTAAACTCTTGCATTATCTTCTAAAAAAAGAACTACAAGTTAAGTTTGGTCAAATATTCAGAACTTTTGTTTCCAGAAGTTTATATAGATGTTCATTTTAAATTATGCAAGAGGAGCAAATACTACTTTTGTTTTCAAACAGTCAAACTCACACATTCATAATGGATTTATGGTGCTTGAATTCAAATGTATTAAAAATCACCAAACCTTAGCAGAGAATCAAATAAAGAATGAAATCTTAGAATCTGTGGCAGTGGAGAAGCTGTTTACAAAGTTTTTTTTAGGAGTGTGAGGTTAAACAAGTGATCTTAAATAGCATCAATCTCAAATATTAAAACTCTGTAGATATAACAAACCTTCTGTGTTAGAAGTGACTTCAATTCAAACTAGGAGTGTAAAAACTTTGAAATTTTAAGTTATGTCTTTAAAAGAACAGGCTGTGATTCCAACTCCTGCTTAAGATTATGTTCTTTATACCATTTTAAAATACATATATCTCTGAATATAAAAGAAAAGCAAGAGAGTGGAAATGTGAATCAGTGAAATGTGGTTCATTTTATCCAGTTACACCTTTTCATAAAGATTTGAGTTAGGATACATAAGTCATAAAATATAACCACTAAAAATCACAGCTTGGGGAACAAGAACTACTCCCAGCAACTAAATCAGACCCTCAAAAGCAGAGAAAGATGTCTGTCTATTCTCCAGCATTAGGAGGCATAACCCTTTTTAGCTTTGGCATATATAATTTAAACATACTTCTCATTTTTAGATCCCACAGTGGAAACAGACAAGAAACCACCAAGATGAGTTGTAAGATCCTGAGATATTAAGCTCCACGGGAAAATCGTCAAAATGTGTCTTTAATACCATCAGAGAAATTACCTTTGGTTACAAAAGGATTTGAGATTTTATAGCTTTCCGACGCAGTTTGAACAAAAACAAGTGATGGGAATCTAAAACTCCAGGCTGTTGTTTTTGTCCTTGTCAGACGGACTTGCCTGCAACACTGGCCAGTCTCCACCAGGAAGGACACACCCCTTAGCCAGAAAGATGCCGGCACCCTACGGATAATCAGAGCATGTGGGCACACATGCTTTAAGCCCGTTTCTTTGTCACAAGGCAACTGTCTGTTTGATTAACTCTAATCAGAGAACTAGTGCAGAGGGTACGTTCTGCGGTGCGTGCCAGCGGAGGGATGTGAGGACACACGTCCTCGGTGGTCAGCGCGTGGCTCTGCTTCTGGCTTGTAGGTAAATAAAAGCCCAGAACACAGCTGTCTGTCTGCATCACACAACCAGAGCAAACAAGGGCTCTGAGCTTTACAGTGGTGCTCCAACACCACACACAGCTTCTAACCTGGAAACTGCAGTGACAGAAACTCCTTCACTACTGGCAGGGTTTCTTGTTTGCTTGTTGTAGGAATGATTTTAAAAATAATTCGTTTTGTTTTTTGCTTTTATTGTTTTGGGGGGTGGAGGGAATTGAGAAACTATGACATGTCACACTATTCTAATGGCTGCAAAAATCTTCCATCATTTTAAATCCCATAAGATTTACAACCATGAATACATTAAAATACAGTGAACTACAAATTAAGCTTCAGACATCAAACAGACTGGAAAAAAGCAGCAAATAATGTCTGAGGTACTGCAGAGCACATTCAATGTCCTGCTCTTTGCACAGCTCAGAGTCACTAATATCTCTGTACAAGTGATGGCAGAAAGTGTTCACAGGGACATAAATGTTGATGAGAATCGCCTCTGACAGACGGCAGCGGCCTGATGGAGGGAAGAAGAGAGACGTGGAGAGAGGCCACGCCGGGTGAGCTGACCCTCTTCTGCCGAGGACGGCAGCTAAATATTTGAGGACCGACACTGCCGGCACGTTCCCAGTCTACAGGGTCTTCAGCTCCATCTGTGTGGATCACACCGACGGTGTGTGTGGAGTGCAGTGAGCAGGTGTTGTGTCTGGCAAAGCTATCAATTAGCAACATAAGATTTAAATGGGCACATTTTAGGACAATGATTCCGAAAACAATATGGAGATGTAAAGTCCCCCAATCAGGATTAAAATAATGGCCACTGATGGGTGAAATAAATAACAATGATTATATTCTTCATAGGACTCGTTGCAGGGTGGGATAAATTTTGTCCTCAACGTTGATGATGTGCAAAAAAGAGATTTAAGAAAATAAATTGTATAATGTGTAATTGCTACACAAATGAATGGAACATTTCTGAAACTTGTAACTCTTGTAACAGGTTCTTTTGGAAAGGTCCAAGTAAAGCAGAGAGGTGAACCGGCAACAGGGTTTTGACTTCGGGCATTGTGAAAACCAACGGCATCAGCTGAAAATGTAACTGTTGCAACTGAGTACTTGACTGTCAGGTATGAAAACACCTGTCTAATTCTCTTGTCATGCGGTCGGTCGGTCGGTCGGTCGGTCGGTAGGTAGGTTCTTTTTCAGAAATATCAGCATCCTATGTAAAAAATAAATAAATAAAATGTATCCATTCTCTTTTTGAAAATGTTTTATGTTTTTGTTTTCAAAGCCTAAAAATAGAAATAAATTGGTGGTTCTTTAAAAGTGACTACAGCAGATATTGTGGCTCTAAATGAGTTTTAACGGGGAAAAACATTAGATTTCCCCAGATAAATCTGAGTCTCCATTCCTTTTCCAGTTTTATATTAACGGCCTGCCATGCTAAGGGTAAAATATACATTTATTTTGAAGGCCTTGGATGGTGGAAATAATTATTTTACAAAATATCTCAAATCTCACACATTCACACAGCTCTGTACATCCAAAGCACCCTTCAAAACAAAGGCTCAGTCTGACATTAAAGGTCTTTTGTTTGGCCATAGTTATCACTGATCCACAGGCGGGTTATTTTGTGAGCATCTCCCATGTGTGTGTGTGTGTGTGTGTGTGTGTGTGTGTGTGTGTGTGTGTGTGTGTGTGTGTGGGGGTGTGTGTGTGAGTGTGTGTGTGTGTGTGTGTGTGTGTGTGTGTGTGTGTGTGTGTGTGTGTGTGTGTGTGTGTGTGTGTGTGTGTGTGTGTGTGTGTGTGTGAGAAACACAAAGTGCAGAGTGAACTCTTGTAGACCTCCTCGACACCCACAGCTGATGGTCATAGAAGTTTCTGTCCACAGATTTCTACTTTTGGCATTTTTCTTCCACAGATGCGGGTGAACAACAGCGAGACGACAGCAGCTCCATGAACAATGGTCACCGGAGCACAACAATTGTGTCTTTGACTGTGTTTGTTTGTGGTGGTGGGGAGACAGGAAATGAGATCATGCTGAGGGCTCTGGCTGTGTACGCGGAAGGCTTATCGAAGAGCGGGGCGAGGCCGGCACCAGAATACCAATCGTGTATTAGCCAGTCGGGCTTATGGAAATAGGACGAAGTTCATTCAGTGCATCGCATCAAAGCAAGGTGGAACGGCGGTGCACCAGGTTCCATCATCCTGCTCAATCTCTCAATTTCTCTACATCTTCTCACTTACCCTGAACTTATCATAACACTGCACTGCTCTGCAGTTCCTCAGGCTTCCGTTTCAAGTAAGTTTTTTGTAATTTACAGTGGAATAACTTGCACAACATCCTCCAACATCTTCCTTTCTGCATCCATTCATAGCTGCTGGTGACTACACTGGCTTCCCTTTCCTCTTTTGCTTAAAGAACAGGATCTTGCATTTCCTGATGTGCTTATCTCTCATCCTCTTGTGTTTCTAAATGCACAAATTAATCATTTTTTCCTTTTTCTTTTTTTTAAACCACACACAACCCCAGTTGGTTCATCCCTTTAAATCACTGGTTTATCGTTAGGCTAGAATATTTACTTCCAGTTTGTTGACAACTTCCCACAACCGCAATCACATTTAAGAGAAATGTAGAGAACCTGGCTGGAGTTGATTTTCAGTTTTCTCGACGCAGATCATTCATCAGCTGGTTGAAAACTACGAATGCACCATACCTTAGACTAAGCTACGACCTTTGGTCAACAACACTGCTGTGAAGAAGATGCTAACTGCTGGGAAAAACACTCAAAGTTTGTCATTTTCAGCAGCAGTGGTGTTAAAAAATGAGTTCACAAGAAGCACAAAGAGCGAAAATAGCCATTCGGAAGAAAACGGTGTTGTTAGCTGTTCAGAGAGTTAAGCAGACAACAGGAAGCATAAGGACATTCAATGTAACTGTTAACCAGTTCAAAGGGAGATCAGGGGTGATACAAATCAAGCTGATCATGCAAAATACTAATAAGATGTTAAAGACAGATGAAAGTGTTGCCTTTGTAATCATGCCGACTTAGTTTTGAAATGCCAGTGAAACCCTGAAGAACTGTAGAACCCCTCTCATGCAGTGGGACGTTACCATCAATGTAAATAACTGATATTTAATTGACAGACTCCTGTATAGTTACCATGAATGAAGAAGTGATTTTGGAATCAATCACAACTAACAGTCAATTAACAACAAGTTAGATAAAACTGTGATGTGACTAAATTGATTTTGGTGCTCTGGAGGTGACTTTAATTTGCAATGTTTGTGCACACAAGCATGGAATTTAACTTGAACTTCACCTTGCTCTCAGTACGGAAGCTTGAAATATAAATATATAAAAAAGCAAAATTAGATAAGGTTGAATTAGAGAAACATGCATGGTATTGATCAAGCTGTCTCTCTGTCCCTGGGGGAAGAAACCGTCTTTGGTGGATGGTTTTAGCAAATAGCACAAATCTGTGGGTAAAAATTCAAACCATTTGTGTCCAGTATGTGTGGGGTCAGCAGAAA